GGGGGGGGGGGGGGGGGGGGGTCGAAACCCAATGTGACATCGGGGAGACTACAGAAGAGGAGGGACTGCACACGGAAAGAAAGTAAGGATACTGCGAAAAGAAAAAAGCCAGGCAGGGGGCACGTGTGCCCAAGAGGCAAGAGGATACTAACAAAGTCTCTGCGAAGACACACGACGAGCCTGAGTCTTCGCAAGGCTTGGGAGTCAGGGCGGCGGTGTACCCCCCCCCCCCACCTGAATCGTTTCTCAACGCTCGATCACTCCACGTCGAAGAAGAGCATGAATAGATGAAACGACATGCAACGTTTTCGGAAAGCTTTCTCTCGACGAGATGGCTCCAACGCCACAGTTGTTTTGGGCTGCCACTCTACCATGGGATACCATGAATTTTTCCGGTATTTCCATGGAACGTTCCGTGAAAGTCCATGGGATGTTTCACGGGAGTCCATGGATCTTTCTGCTGTGGAGAACTGGGGCTTTCAAAATCGGTCCAGGAGGAGTGATATCTTGCGTCACCTACGGAATGCATACGTCCACATCCATTCTGTTATACTCACAGCAGTACAGCAGTAGTGGGCCCTGAACGACGCCTGTATGTGTAGGGTGCATCGGCCGGCACTATCAGAAGGCCGGCGCTATTCAGTGTACAGAAAATGACTCGGCGTTACAAGTCTGCGCCCAGCAATTTTACCGACGATCTACATGGCCACCGGCGCTAATAGTCAACCGGCGTTACTGAGGCCCCCTAGCTGTCGTGGTTCTCTTTCACGAGGGCGGGTTGAGTTAAGGGGGTGCGTGCGCGGCACATGATCGGTGGGATCGCATGTCACCACGATGTGTCGCGCTCAACACTGCTACTAGTGGAAGTAACATTTTGTGCAAACAAGGGCTTACACCCTCCCAAAAACAAACGGGTGTGAATGTAGCATGTTCGATCGACACGAGAAGGAGAGAGAAAATGTACACGACTGAGCTGGAAAAATAGACTCAAGGTACATAGAGAATTTTGAGGCACGGAACAGGAGAACAAGACGGTAGCTATGCTGGCAAGATAGGGAACGACCCACCGTTGGCAAAAACTTCAGGAAGCGACGATTGCCCATCGGTGATCGGTCCAGTGGGAACAATGACAACGCTCCGTCCTCTCGAGGACGCGTGGTCAAAGGCCCAACAACAACGGCACGCAAAACATTGGTACGCCCCCCCGCCCTCCCCACTCACCCCGGCGTTCCCCATCGAGGTTGGGTTTTCGTCGCTTGACAACGACGTTGCAAAACAAGCAGATCACCTCGTGAGCTTGGCAACCAGGTTACCGCTATTTTCTTGCTTTTTTTTTGTGATGACCGTAATGGTGGTCGAGTAGATTTTGTTGTGAGGGGTCGAGAGCCCTCCCTCCGCGCAAAGGGCATGATCGCACCACGATAAACTGGCAAAGCACCCTCGAGGCAGTTACACAGTGCCCTTTTTTGTCTCTGGAAGTGAAAGCGCCAGAAAATAAATGAAGTCACTCGCAGGTAGCTGTCATCCGTATGCAAGGAAATAACCACAAGATGCCGAACACCCTTATTGTAGCACGATGCAGCGCACCCTTCATGCGACTCGCCGAATACCTCACGGCGCTTCGCGCTTGGTGATGNACGGAACTAAGAGTGCCCCCCCCCCCCGAAAAAAAAAAAATCGAGGTTCATCTTTGCGAAACGTAGCCTGGGCCGGCGAAAACCTGGTACACATCGCTCAGCCCCGGCATTGCAGGGATGCGAGGTCAATGGTATCAAGACTACTGCATACGACTACATGAGTACACTCCCCCCCCCGCAAGAAAAAAAAAACATAAAAGCCTCGCGACCAAGCGAGACCCCCCCCCCCCCCCCCC